GAAAGGTTTGCAAAACTTCACAGACTGCTAAAAAGTACAAACAAACACTAAATCCCGCGCTTCTCTCATAAAAATTTCCAAGTCTTCTATGTGTTTTGTGTAAAAAGTCGAGAAAAAAATTTGTGGACGCGCGCGCGAAATTTATTTTTTTTAATATTATAATTTTGATTTGTTAAAAATAGAAGCGGCGAATCCGACAAACTGTATTAGAAATTGGTATGGCCTAGGGCACCTTGTTAGGGCGTTAGGCTCCATCATTAGGGCACCTGTCAGGGCGTGAGGCTCCATCATTAGGGCACCTGTCAGGGCGTTAGGCTCCATCATTAGGGCACCTTGTGGTGTTCAGTCCATCATTAGGGCACTCTGTTAAGGACGTTAGGCTCCATCATTAGGGCACCTATCTTTGAATTTGATTTCTGAAATTTCTGATCAAATCAACATGATTAAACATTTACACTTTAACACCAGTAGGTAGTCTAAAGAACAAATTCAACATTTCAAACTGTGACTGTGCAATTACCAGTATCATTTCTATGGAGTCCCACAGAACATATGGTATCCAAACCTGCAGTGGCATCTGCACTAATCTGATGTGACACAGGAATTACAGCTAACCCAGATCCTTAGTTTCTTAATTCTATACAGAACACAATTTAATTACGGCAAGTAAATTAAGTCAATACGATCGACATGTCTTTTAACTAGCTTTTGGCATTGCATTGTTGCAAACCACAACCAAAATATATGATATTCTCTGGCATTGATGTGATGTAAATATTGGAAGCCTGCCAGAGTTATCCACCTTGCCCTACTTCTTTAATGAGAGCAGTGAAACTTATAGAACAAATTGTACTCATCTTATTACAAATCATTGAGGGCAGTTGTACTTATTGACAGTGATTTAAATGAGTACAGTGTAACCCACTTATAACAGATCTCTGAGGGCAGTTGTACTTATTAGAGATTCTTGATTACAGCATTTCAATACTTCATAGTATTCTCAACTCATCACAATATTATGAATATAGTCTAAAACATTTATGTATGATATCGTTTATTTAAGACAGTACTAGTACCTTATTTTCTCTTGGAATGAACTGCTTTGGTTAATATATTCTTTTCATACCAACATATTTATAAAATACTTTTCTGAATGTCAGTCGTTTGACCTAATATATACCGGTATACACATCATACCTTGGTGAGCAGCATTAACGCGTGACTCTCCATGGCTATGTTGACAGTGTTACTGGTGTCTATATAAATCTCCTCTAGCTCCTGGTCAAAAGTAAAAATAAAATATATTACTTTTGTGTATATAACCCATACAACACATGTGATCGTGTTGAGAAAATCATTTTTGAAAGAAATAGTGATTCCCTGATTTTAGAGTTGTTCCTCTTAGACTGCAATATGTGCAAAATCTTGGCCGAGAATCGTGCGCATTAACTTTCTGGACGTTTTCAGACCAGCTAGTTAAGACAAGGTCATTATTCTCGGATGATGGGACTGTCGGGATTTGAGATTATTGTTGGGACATGTGTCGTATACCTCTAAGACCTGTGGAATGAGATATTGGAACTCCTCTATTGTCCTGTTGGAAGCACACAGTTGACAAAGGTATTCGTTGTGAGCGCTGTGGAACTGAAGGCTGGCGTTATAGTTAGAACTGGTCTGGTAAAGCTTCACTGAAGTCTCGTAGTTCTTTTCTGCCTATAATAAAACAGAGACTGTCAGAGAGAATGAGAGAGAGATATCGATCTAAAACAAAAGGCTTCGATTCGATCATTTTTTCGGGGAGGGGGTTAACTTGCTGATCCCCCCCCTATCTCAAATGTTTTAAAAATGGCATTGTCAATGGCCTGAATGGGAGGACACAATTTTCACAGGGTGTTACAAAACAGAGTATCCCCGCGCAAAGAGCATATCGATATATTCAACATTGATCCCGATGCAAATGTCGCTTCCGTTTCACGCAAGGACAGACTAACACACACACCCTAACTAACACACCCTCACACACACTAACACACCCTTACGAGCGTGTTACCACATCCCCTCTTACTCCGTTGAGAGAGGATACAATTATAAAAGTACACCTGTTGATTGTTTTGTTTGGAGCTATGCCAACAGAAAATAATTATCCTATTGCCTTTGGAGTATATTGAGCAAATGAAAATGAAAATGAAAACAGAACTGTTTTAAGACCAGTTGAAAATACAATCAATATTTGTCCCCTCTCTCTTCAGTTGATGTTAATTTAATACAATTATAGAAATTAAAATCTTTGTGTGAAGCGTTCTTACGTTATTTAAAAGTTTTCTTTGCTGTCTAGACATCTATACTGTGAAGTTTTTTTTTTCAATTTGAAAAGTACAAAAAAATATATTAACAGACTACTATTGGAGATGAAAGTGAAATAGCAGATCCCAAAATAGTATAGACGTATAATTTTTACCAAACGCTTTCATTAAAAAGGGATGAGTCCTAGTGTGTTGAAAAAAGGTAACAAATTATGTCCTCTGCCTTTTACACCAATAAAAAATAGTTGCATGCACTTAATTTGTACTGTTCTTAGAGAAAAAAATCAAGGTCCAAAATACTGAAGTAAAACGTTTTTGGCGTAAAATTTGACTTTCCTTGTGCACTCTGGTCCCCGGGGTCATAAATGAATATTTGCATATTCACTGCTCTCTCCCACTATGAACATGTAGTCTGCAACTGCGTTCATACGACTATATTTACATTTGCAATTGTTTTCCTTTATATAACACTACTGAAAGCAATGCGTATCTATTTAAGGAATGACTCTAATTCTTGGCCAGATTATCGAGTATAATATGGTTTGGGTCAGTTTACGCTTTATAATCCGCGAAGCGGATTATAAAAAAGCGTAAACTGACCCAAACCATATTATACTCGATAATCTGGCCAAGAATTAGAGTCATTCCTTATAATTTAATTTTAAAATAATTAAACAACTGGGGATGTAAAATTGTGTTGTTTTTATTAGTTCAAATTTACCGCGCAATAATACAACCGTAGTAACGGAAGTGATGGGAAGCAAGGGGAGGTAAAAACTGATACATAGATCTAGCAGCCATGATGCTTGTTTACATGAGGTAAGATCGAGCAACTGTTTGAAGTTAAAGGTACATTCATTAAATCTGGAATTTTTCATGAATCCGAAGGACTGGAAATGAGGGGATTGATGGATACAGATGATTCAGCTGGTTGTCAAGGGGGTGTGTCCCCATACCAAACCAGATTATACAAAATGTTATGCGTTCCTTTTTGGAAATCAACCAATGAGAGACAAGAATACAAACAGAATTAAATTATAACTGTATAAATACAGGTACGGGGTCAAGAGGTCATAGATGTGCCTATGGATAAACGTTCGACGTAATTTCTCAGTGACGTCATAATGGGTCGACGCGCATTCAGTGGATTACATACATGCCGTTGGGTTTGAAAAATAATGCATTTCACATGCAAGTTAAAAGTCACAATCAGGCAAATTTAACGTATGAATAAGTCACAAATGTAAATATAAGTAATAAGGTATCATTTTAAGACATCTATGGGGCTATAAATACGGGTTGGTACGAGATTAAATTCATCATAAAGCCCTTTATGGAATTTAATCTCGTGACCAACCCGTATTTATATCCCGATAGATGTTTAAAAATGATACCGTATTTCTTAAAAAAGACGCAACTGCTTCTACTATGAGTGCCATTGCTCTATCACACTCGTGTAGAACTATCTCTACTACAGTTGTACAGCGTGTTGAGAAGTATATATATGATATGTTTCGTAAGAGGAATAAAAATAAGTGTTTAATTATATTCTTTGAAAAAAAAAGGAAATTCAGAATATTTAAGATTGTTGATTTATATCTTTAAAAATTCAGTTTTGGTCAATGTATTTACATGTAATTGTATAATAAAACTTTTTAAAGTCGTAGAGAACTGCCATATTTTTATTTTTCCGTATCATGCATATTTGTACAAAGAACGATAACTCTTCACACTTGGGTAATAACATTCAGAAAGGGAAAATTTCTTTAACTAGTAGATCTATTTCAAGAATGATTTCAGCTATTAAAAATAAATAGAAAAACTAAAAAAATATATAGCAAAGCATTCTGGAGTAATAATCATTATAAAAGCATTCTCATTTTTCATCATAGTGTTAAATTATTGATTTTTGTCAGAGGGTTTTAATATAACGTTGATCGATGACGTCACAACTGCATCAAAACAAAAATGTGATGACGGCACTGCTTGTATCCAGATAAATGTGTCTGAGAGGGAAATACTTTATAAATTAGTCGTGATTTATTAGAGAAAAGGAGCATTAATCAGGTACACTGATTTTAAAGCCGTATGTTTTTTTTTTACTGAAGACAAGAAGCTGCGTCCTTATCACAAGGGCTTGTCACGAAATATTTATCTTCTTTTAATAAAGTTACCCCTACTTTAAAAATACACTGTGTATTTTTATAGTAGGGGTAACTTTATTAAAAGAAGATAAATATTTCGTGACAAGCCCCTGTGTCCTTATGTAAGTCAGGATTTCCTCTGATATTCTTGAAAAAAAAATCTAAGAATGCAAATATAAGTAATAAACAACGATTATTCAGTGAACATGGCATTATGAATAGCAATAGCTCTGCTGGCATATTTTCCATGATGCGCTAGCGCGCATCATGGAATATGCCAGCAGAGCAATTGCTATTCATAACGCCATGTTCACTGAATAACGTTGTTTATTTCTAAAATATTGAGACAGAATGTCTAAGAGACGAGTTTTGAGCTGGAAATCCCCCTTAGATTTAGTTAGCTGCTAAACTACAAGAAATACGTGTAATTGTTGCCAAAATTTAAAAAAAATCTATTATACACGCTTCGTATATTTTTTTTTTATAAAGTAAAATTTATTAAATTTTCAACCGTGAAATACTGTGATTTATGTATTGAATAAAAGTGATATCTTATCAGAGTGTGATAAGATATCAAAAATGATATTCCATCACAGTGTGAGAGAATATCAAAAGAATTGCGGCAAAACTCTCGATTTTCCTTCCCTTCACAAAGGTTGTTGTATCACTTGAGTAAATAAATAATCCTGAAAAGACTTAAATTGCAAAAACTTCTCCAAAAATTTGGTTGAAGACCATTTTTACAATGTTTTGAATCTTAGCTGAGCTACGAATAGTATTTTGACCATGGAATTAATTTATCACTCTCATTTTTTTAAAATTACATGTAATAGTAAGTAATAAAAGTTGCCCTTGCAAAGGTTTCAATAGTTTTCCAAATTTTTTGTTGTACTAAATATTAATTGCTTGTATATATCCTAAAAGAAAATAATTTAAAAAAAATCTCTAAATAAAAGCAAGACGATAAAATACTTAAAAAATATTTTTAAAAATATTTTATTTAGTTTATAAAGAAGAAAAATTCGTCTCTGCCCTCTTACACAAAGGCATAGAATGTTGAGAAATGTCATTTATTCTTGTTCACGCAAGAGCTCAGATTTTAATGGCGAGCGGATGAACCAGCTAAATCTGCCATTATTGTTATTTTACCTACTCAGAGTGATTGGATTTTCCTCATAATACGAATGTAAGCCTGATTTGCGTTCGCACGTGAACTTTAATTCCGAATTTGCGTTAATTTTGGAGTCGATTTACCATCATCCTGTGGCAAGAATCAATCTCGATTGAATTTTGAATTTAGAATGAACGGCTGATGAAGATGTGACCGTAAAAAACTTGAATTATCGTCTTTTTAATTGATTTTATTGATGTCTTCCAAGTCCATGCAGTTATCTCTCTTTAACTCCAACGGAAGATTTGAAAACAGGAAAAAAATACCAAAAGAAATAAAAAGTACCCCCTAAAAAAAACCCTTAATTTCAGCAACTTTTTATTCGTGTAACCTAAAGTCTGGTATAAATGTTGTCGTCCTCAAAATTTAACTATTGTGGTAAAATCACACGATGATTTAAAATATGATCATAGTCAAAACCAAGTATACACCCAGATAAATAAAAAGAATAAATGAAAAATTTTAAACAAACAAAGACACAGCAAAGCGGAGCATCATACACAGCATTTAACATCGATCCCGATGCAAATTACATTACTTCCGTTTTACACAACCTAAAACGCCGACTTGAGAGAAAGCATGAATACGTACGACTTGAAGGTCGTGTTCCACTTTATCCATGGTCTCCTCGAACTGGTCTCGGTAAGAATTGAGTTTCTGAGTCTGATTCTTTTTGTTTATCGCCACTTCTTCTAAAGGTTTGTGTACATTTTTCATTAGCAAGACTGCTACGTCCATATGGGCCTGAAAGTTTAGAAAATACAAACAGATAAAACAGCATACAATAAGAAACCCAAATTTGTATATGGCATCACATCTATGTTCAACTGATACTACATCACATTATCAAAAAATCAAAATAAATAATAAAATTTTTGATTAAAAAATTATTTTAAATTTTGATATTTTGAAATGAATGCTTTAAATTTTGACTTAAAAATCTTTTGGTATATTATTATTATTTAATTCTTGATATGCAAAAATCAGAAAATAGAAGAACTGCGAACGATAGTATTGTTCTCCGGCCTACCCCTACGTCCATTTTCAAATGTTAAGATATTCAAATGATTTTTAATATTTATATTGATATTTAAATGGATTTTCATAAAACATTACTTATTTTGGGAAACCTGTATCATAACTTTATGATTATATTTTTTCTTTTAACTCCCGGGGAGGGGGATTCTTCAGTTTACTTCTATACACTAAAAAATATTCATTGTTTAATCTGTTTATTACATGTATATTTAAGGAATCACTGTCTAGTTAGTGTAGTATGCCAGAGCATCAACGAAAATATATCGTATAATTTATGCATAACGGGCTTCGGCCGTTATGCAAATTATCCATCGTTGATGTCCCTGGCATACTACACTAACTAGACAGTGATTCCTTATATTTCCATTTCATTGTGAAATAAAATTGTAGATTTAGACTTTAAAAATGTAGATTAAATAAGGACTTCCATGTCAATTTCAATAGTCCTCGCCCACTGACGACAAACATAAAGGCAGCCGCACGAGATTTGCATGCGTATTAGGCCTCCTTAGCTCCTGACCTATCGACCTACCTAATTTACATTCCGGTAGAATTATCAAGAAATAAACTCCCCCTAACTTTCAAGTTATCACAGAGAAAAAATTAGAAATGGAAATATTATATGATATTCGATTACTCGGTAAAAAAAACCTCATTTGAAAACTATTTGTTCACTTTAAATTTATCCGTGTATTTTTTTTTACCTGTGCATCGTTTTCTGTCCCATGCAGCAAACAGTCCCAGGCAGATAAGATTGTGGAAGGTGTGTCTGTTGGTCTGTTTGCAAACAAACAAATAAAAAAATTGCAACCATTCTTTCCTTATGCATATGTAATGAAATAAATTGTTGGAACTTTCAAGTACTGTATTTATAAATTTAATTTAAAATAACTACTGACAAAAAGATTTGGTTTTTTTAAATTTGTAAATGCGTATTTCATATTTTGCATATTGACATTGGTACTTTTTCTCCTTCCTCAGTAGAATATCCGTTATATTCGGTCTATATTAATATATAACTGTCCAGTTTCTGTTAATGGTTCTGCTTGTCAGAGAATCTTTTTACAGTGACAGTACCTGTCTCGTCTGAGGTCTTCATATTTGGTTTTGAATGCTGCAATGATAGTCTGAATGTCTTTGGCAAATTGTTCGTAGACTGCTGCCATCTGGCGAGCGAAATCTGATACTGAAAGCAAGAAATAATATTTAAGGAACACGATATTGTTGTAATAGAGATAAACTTAGTTAACGTACACACTGCCACACAATTCTGTCAACTACCAGAACTGTTTGTAACCCAGTATATATCAACTCATATACTAGTAATTTGTACAGATTAGTTTCCTGTAACCACAGTGTCGCGGTATTAATACATTACTAACACTATCCGGACCGTAAACGGATGCCGACTTATCTGAATAGTCGACATATCCGATATCGAGATACCGAACTTTATCTGTAATAGATTCCCTCTGGCAATAAAGATCGATAAAGGTAAAACTTTGCTTTAAAAAAGGGTTACACATACAGCAGTAAAAAAACCCCAGCCATCCACCCACCCCTCTCTCTCTACCCCACCTAGTATATATTTAATGTGTATCCTCGTAGCGTTTGCGTCTAGTAATCATAATTATGTTCCCCAAACGAAGTTGGGGAACATATTGTTTTTACTCTGTTTCTTATTATTATTATTATTTTTCTTCTTCTTCCTGGGTACTTTTTTGTCCGGGAATGATCTCGTAAACTATACATCCGACTAAGGTGAAATGTTTTTAGGGTCAGTAGACATGTTATGTAGATTTGCGGAACGAAGGTCATTTTGCGCGCACGTGCTTGCAAGAGCGTGCACGTGCAACATGTGTAATGACAGATTTAATTGATATAGGCGTAACTTTTTAAATTTTTGATGAAATGCTTTGAAACTTATAATATAAGGATATATTAGTAGCATAGACAATATGACATGGTCAAAATAGCAAGATCTCACGCGCATGCACGTGCGCTTTGCTCTGATTGGCTGAAACTAAAGTCTCAATATCTTACTTGTTTTTTGACGAAATCCTTAGAAATTTTGAAAATAGCCATGCATTAGGATTTCCTACAACATGATTTATAGCAATTATGATGAAAACACGTGCATGCACGTGCACTGCAATCTGATTGGCTTAAACTTTAAATAGCTATAACTCCCTTGATTTTCAACCAAACAGGATGGGATTTGGAACATAGATAGATATACTGGACTACTACAAGAAAATATGGTCACCATGCACATGCATACACGTGCATGTATGTGCGCTGCAATCTGATTGGCAGAAACTTTAAACAGCTATAACTCCCTTGGTTTTCAACCAAACAGGGTGGGATTTAGCACATTGATAGATGTAACGGACATCTACAAGAAGGTATGGTCAACATGCTCATGTATGCACGTGCGTGCACGTGAAATGAACAAAATAAAAAAAACACTTGAATGAGCCTATCTTTTTAATACTTTTGGATTAAATACTTTAATATTAAGTATATCAAAATATAGATTGTGTAGACAAGATGATATGGTCATTACGCACATGCATTCACATGCGCACGCGTGCAATGCTAAAATTTGAATGAACTTTGTACACTTCTGGGTAAACGTTTTAAGTCTCAAATGCATCGAGTTTGTCTTATTTAATGAAGCTTCCAGGGAATATGGCACCAAAAGGGAGTTGGGGAGCGTTTGGGGAACATCTGTAACGGTCCCCGTTACAATTAGCGCTAGTTTGTACTGTAGTGTCTTCATATTTCTTATTGTCATTTTCGTTCCCTTTGAAAAAAAAATATTTAAACAGTGACATTTGACTTTTTAAAATTAATATATGACTTTGTATTTGGCATTGCCGAATCGGGAGGGGGTTTTGTGCTCCTTCCCCACTTTTTTTTCATCATTATCCCCGAAAAATATATATATATATATTCGTATAAATCATGTATTTGTCTTGAGAAAATCTACCCTCGACATTTTCAGGGTGAGGGGAGGAGGGGGTTCGACTTCCCATCTCTGTTAATGTCAATTCATAATTACTAAGTAATTATCTAGATCAAAATAGAGATCGCTTTATTCGTTGTCTCTGTTTGTGTCGCTGTATGTAACCGCATTTTATTTAAGAATCAGAGTACATATGTACACATTGCATGGACATATGTGTTTAATTAATTTATCCATCATAAACATCGCTGTACTGTTCGTCTTGAGATATCTTAACGAGAAAAGTCTTTAAAATCACAAATTATGACTCAGAATCTAAAACTCTATCATTTACTCACGCCTGTTTATAGATTTCATTCATATTTCCCAAAATATTGAAGAAAAGAGAAAGAAACAAGGGATTGTGGAGCATATCCCCTCGCAAAAAAAAAACATAACTCGGGGCATTTGATCCTGAAGCAAATTACGTCACTTCTGTAACGCACATAAAAACTAACTAACCCACCTACACACACAAGCATGAACCCTACGGTACGTTCCTTTAGGAATGTACCAATAACATGCAGCACCCTCATCTCTGTGTATACATGTTGGTAAATAAAGACTAAAAGATATATCAGACTATCGGAGGGGACTTGTCATTTGAGAAAAAAATGTCACTGTTTCCTCATTTCTTACGTGCAAAAAAACAGACACGAGATTTTGTATGGAATGCAAGTAGAATCTACCCGTACAAAAGTTGCACCATTTTATTTACTAGTAATTTTTTCAACCATCCCAACTGTACAATATTACTAAGGGGGGTGTTTGAACTTAATACACTTCTGTAAGTGTGAGTAGCATTCATAGCTTAATGTGGTAAAACGATAAAATATTCATCTCGAAAGATGTGGACTAATGGTTCTTTTGTGAAAGTATAAATAAAAACATGAGCTAAGGGAATATAATCTGTCGGGTTTCTTATATAGATACCGGAATTTTCTACCAAAATTAGATTTAATGCCTTCTCTTGTGAACAGTGTTATGTTGTAGGTAAATGTCAATGTCACCTGTAAAGCTAAGTGCTTTAATAAAATCAATATGGCTGATGTGAAACGTCTAGTCGAGTACTTTGGTGAAGATATCATGAAGTCTTGTAACAGAGTCTTTTAGTATAGAAAGCCGAAGTTGAATATAGAGTGAATTCAATCGAACGCCCTGTAACATACGGCTCAGATTAAAATCGAGCTTCAGTCAAACCCGTAATAACAGAAGACAAATCCGTGTTAAACAAACAGGGTGGGCGGGTACTGAGACCCATATTTACAGAAACCCCGTACTCTCTCGTATGACAATCCGTAATTCAACAAAAAGCAATTACACTATGGATTTGAATGAGAATGTTTTCATTTCCTCGGAATCAATTCTACTTTTTTCCTGGTATTGTTCAGTGACAAAACAGATTTATTGCTCGGCATATTTGCCTGCCATTATTTCATTACAGAGGGAGATAGTTATTTTGTCTTTTGTACAAATTGTGGGAGGACATTACACTAATGTTAATGTTAACCAAGTAAACAATAAAATTTTTCCCATATCCCGCTCCAAGGACATTGCACATAACTAATACTCCACAGACACCACAAGTAATAAGTTTGTTTACATTTTTAAAATATCAAATGAACTAGTCGGTTGATATCTCAACCATCTATGGTATGAGATCGGTCGCATGACATATTTACATGTAAAATGTATCTTCTGAAAAAAAAATCAAGAAAAATCCTCTAGTACCCATGAGTAAGTGTTCGCCTTCCCCTCAAATCACAAGAAAGCCGAGACAATTTTTTAATTTTTTTCCTTTTCCATTAGACGCTGTATACCAAAGTTCAGGAGAAAAAAATGACTGAAAACGATTGATACTTTAATGACTCAAGTGACCTAAAATTTTTACTCTGTTAAAGCAGGTTTTGTTTAACTCGTATTGACCTGTCTTTTGTTTTTTGATGACTCGACATTAATTCTCAGCTGCCTCTATGGAATATATAGAATATCACTCAGATCAATGTCTGTAAATAATTGATAATTTTAAAGGTCCACAAGAGGAAATCATACCATAACTCTAAATGAAAAATAGATATTTAAAATCAAATTTAGAAGTATATTTAATGACAATTTTACTACTGGAGATTTGAATAATTGAAACTGTGAACGAATTTTAACGAGTACTTTTAAAAGTATGTTTTGTGTGTCTAAAAATTAGAACTCAGGGAAGCACATTACTAGTATGTGAAAATTCTCGACTTAAAGGTCATATATAATGTAGCTTATAATTAATTAGTTCACAATCAGCAAATAAAAAGTATAAGCCTTATGAATAATTGGCAAGAGTTCTACCGCTCATTTTGTGAATTGCTAGATAACAATTTTCTCTCCACTTTAATCTTGGTTCATTGATTGCAGTCTTTAAGGTTGCAGAATACACAATTCACACAACTAACTGTAAACAAGACAGGACAATCAATTCTTAAAATCAATCTCCAAAAGTTTACAGACATTGTTTTTTAGACTATGGCAGTTGTTTACAATACTAAGTCCTAGTTTTGTATTAGAATGCTCCCTATCTGAAAACCAATGAATGGAGAGGGAAACCAAGTCGATTTGAAACAGTCTGTTATGAAAGTTAAGGATGTACGATACCAAAGTTCCTGTGGTTAAAATGTTTTTGTTTCGTCTTCTTTAAGGTGCACTGCAAATTTTTAACAATATCCTTACATATCTACAACAACTATTGGATTCATCCAAAGTCAGAATTTTTTTTGTGGGCTGAATTGAATCTGTTCAAATTTTTATGCTACCGTATTTAAAAAATAGGGTTAATAGATAGTGTTCGGTCTGTCCGTCTGTCTCTCTGTGTATTAACATTACCGATTATTTTTCATTGGTTGGAGCTAAACTTTTCATATTTTTTCATGTATAATTCCTAGTAAAATGAAACGATCTTTTTATGGTTAAAAACAAAATCCTTATGACCTTTTAATTTTGATTTTTGAAATTGACCCAGTTTTGCAAAATGTTACAAACGTAAAACTTAAGCTTGACCTTGGCATTTGACCCACTATTAAAATTTTGAGCATTTTCCATAACTCTAAAATGGTGAGTGCTTAGTCTTGTTTATAATTGTGAAAGACCTTTTCTCAGGAGGTTGACTTGCTTTTGAAAACTTTCAATTTAAAATTTGCGTAGAGTTTAAGAGTTTGACTTGCTTTTCAAAACTTTTCAATTTAAGTTTTGCCATAATTTTGAATAGTTGGTGCTAGGGCTTTCATATCTCACCTGTAATGTGTAAATCTTGACTCTTTTTTATGTTTTGACCTTGACCTACTACTTTGACTTTCTTTGGAGAATTTTCAATTTTATTTGTATTGGGTAAGATAGAGGAAGCTCAGCAATCATACGAAAATAAAATTGTTTGTCACTGGTATACTTTCGATGAGTTGGAAGTAATTTTCATTATAAATCACAAGATGGTTGAAAAATATATTCTTTGTTAAGAAATCTATGAGACTTCATGATATATATTGTCTAAGTTCACAGTATACACGAATGTCCACTGTCCTCCGCGAAGCTCGATCTTACGATCAGACTTGATTTGTGACAAAACCGAGCTTTCCATACAGGTTTTCATCGTTAATCTAAGACATTCACGATATTTTCTGCAGATGTCTATATTATTTAATTCAATAACACGTTCATCAAAAGAATCTCCATTTATATGATCGGCGTTTCTGAGTTCATTATTTCATTGATAAGGACACTGTCTGATCTTACAATCACGTATCTAGACATTCATGGGGAAACATGGAATCACAAAGTCTGCAAGAAGACCTGTTTCATTCTCTGTCTAATTTGTTTGATTTTATTACGAATTATCTAAGGAGCAGATTGATTAATACACATACAACAAAAAGTACTCACAAAAACTGACTTGGGGCGTATATATGGTTTATTGATTTGATATTCTGACTGCTGTTCTAAGGGGACGTTGAACTATTGATCAGCAAACTTACAGAATGGTGGTATTACCTGACATCTCCTGCGAATTCGATCTATGACTGGATAATATTCCTATCTGTCCGTCTGATCGTCAAAAAATATTTAGCTGCCGACTTCAGGCCTACTATGTACATGTAGGTATCTTTGAGGG